AGCCCTGCTCGGACCCAGCCCTGCTCGGACCCAGCCCTGCTCGGGGCCCGGTGTGAGCCGCCGTGGGCGGCTCTGCCCGGCTGCAGGCTCGCGGGGCCGCCGGTAGGTGGCGGTGTGCCCCCAGGAGCGCCGCCTCAGCCCGGATCCCCCGCCACGCTCCGGGCCCGCGGCGCGCCGGCCGTGCGGGGCTGCTGGGCGGCTTCTGCGTCAAAGCGGGCGCGCAGACAGATAAAAATACACACCGTTAGATATTTAGGATTTTTAAACTGCTCACACTAAATGACAAGAGGTTTAGAATAGATTATTAGGAGGAAGTTCTCTGCTGTGAGGGTGGTGAGGCACTGAAAGTGGTTGCCCAGATGAGCTGTACATGATCCCATCCCTGGAGGTGTTCAGGGCCAGTTTGGAAGGGGCTCTGAGCAGCCTGGGCTAATAAAGGATGTCCCTGCCTGTGGCAGGGGGATTGGAAGTAGATGATCTATCACTACGGTCCCTTCCAACCCAAACCTATAGCAACAATGCGGTAGAAACCTGGATACAGGGAAGAAATAATGATGTCTGGCTCCAGATCAGGAGGTTGAAGGATAGCTTTATTGAAACTATACTATATTACATTAATATACTATTTAAAGAGATACTATACTATTCTACATCCTTCTTACTTATCTAACAAACTTGCGACTCTCTGCTGAGAGTCCGAGACACAGCTGGGTCTGATTGAACTTAAACAACCTCCACAAGAATCTAATTAAGCAATTACTTTAGGTAAACAATCTCTATACTACATTTTACATGGGGAGAACAAGTGAGCAGAGATAAAGATAGTTTTCTTCTCTCTGTGCTTCTCTAAGAAATCCTGAGAGACAGAATTATGTCTCTCTGTCCAGAGAATGTGAATGTCACACAAACCTTCCTATGATTCTGTGAAACCCTGTTTTGTTATATACTTAATTGATGTGGTGAGGGGAACAGAACCCAAATCCCTGCTCTGCCTTAAGTTAACACACAAGCTGTATTATGGGTGTGGGTGCCTCTGGAGCCAGGGTGCTGCCAAGCCACCCCAAGAAGCCCCAGCCCCTCTGTGCCACACATCAGGGTGGTTGGAAGCCAGCAGGAAGGGGCTTGTGGACTAACTCTAATATAAAACTTAAAGCAACTACTGGCAGGGATAAGCTACTTCTTTAGAGGCTGGTGAGTATTTCTGGGTTTTTTGTGGAGTCCCTTTCTTTCTTTTTATTTTTCAAAATGTTGCCAGATGTAAACCAAAGATCTCTCCATATCTGCCTGCAACCTTTGCATGTTAACAAG